GCACGAACTCTCGTCCTAAACCTAGCCCTGTAGGCTTCAGACTGATTTTGAGTTCCATACCTGAGTTCTAGAGCAGCTACCAAAGCTCTGTAGTTGTGCCTGTCGTCTGCTGACAACTGTTCAAGTATTTCCAGTGGTTGTCCCTTCAAGCTCGTTGCCAGGTACACTGCCTTCTGCTCTTCTGTCCATAACTCAAATTGTGCTCTATATGCTTCCCACGGTGCCTTCCCATCACATTACTGTGGCTTCCTTCGTATAGATAACCCCTATTGCTAACACTCATGTCTGGAATGTGACTTCTGACAGGACTGAAGATGTCTGCATTAGGGTTTAGCTTCAGGGTCTGGAAGGGGCTTCTCATTGTCTGAAGCTGATTAGGTCCATGGCTAATATATCGTCCTTGTGTAAAAGACAGTAAATCATCCTGTAATGTATTTTATTCACCTTGAAATTTATTAATGTTTTCCACTTGTACTTTTTGCCACTGTTGTTGGTTTTCCTGTATTTGCTGCTGACTTTCCTGCAGCTGTTGGAGACTTTCTTCCTTTTTCCTTTCTTGTTCCAGTTTCCACTGCTGTAATCTCTTTTCTTGTTTATTTTCTTTTTCGTCCAACCACTGATTTAGTCTCTCTTGTTTATTTTGCTGTTCGAGCTACCACTGTTGCAGGTTTTCTTGCCACTACTGTTGTCTCTCTTCTTGTTTCTTTTCTCGTTCTCCTTGTTTCTTTTGCTATTCTTGTATTGCTGCCACCAAATCTGCTAAGCTGTAGTTTGATTTGCCACCTCACGTTTCCATCTTCCTCTTCTTTTTTTTATTTTCCGTCCCACTCTTAGACACCAATTTGTTGGTATCTGCTTGTTTGTTAATTTCCCTTATAAATTCTTTCCGAGAAACTTCAGCGATACAAGTCCTTTCTTAATTAAAACTAGTTTATTCTTTCTCGATACAACTTTATAATACACAGACTAGAGTTGCCAGGACAATTCACGATCCTTCGAGAATCTCATCACGTGTTACCAGAGCCACGTGACTTCAGCTGTCGTAACAATACATACTATGTTACTTAACATATATTATTAATTGTAAACTTGTTTCTTTGATTATTGCTTGCTTACAATCTAAATCGGTTAATATGACACTTTTATAATGACATAAATCTCTCAGTCTCGTAAGTGACGTAATAACTGAGTTCGTCTGTATTTGTATACCATACCATGAAATAAGTGTTGTTATGTAACTGCCATTCCTCTATACTATCAATTCAAAAGTGGGGATAACTACGAGCAGCTTTGAGTGAAAATTCTGGAACTAACAAACTTACTTTATTAAAATCTGAAATTACTTGGACATGTAATTTTTTGTCTCTTACCTTTTTAATAGGTATAATAGACTGAATGTTAACACAATGTTCTTATTTATATAACAACAAATTTGTTACAATAATGGACATCAAAAATGAACAGACGACATTATGGAGGTGAAGAAATTAAAGTTGTATAGAGTTCATGTTATATTCAGTTGGCGACACTGTAGAGGTTAATACTGGTATACAGACATATGAATATATATAGTGGGTTAAAACTTGTTGCAGCTCTCTTTCTGGATAGTCATGGTGTCCCAAGTTAATTCATAGTTCTTTGTTTTCTAGCAACATCAAATGTAAAATAAATTATGCTTATAAAGTTATAGCGCAACTGCTTAATGTATTTAACGTATTTTACACGTTCTACATTCTTCTGATAAAGCAAGACAAGATTACTTTCTATACCTTTCCAGGACAGGCCGCAGATACTGGCTGACTACTTAAAAGTGTGCTTCAGTGTAACAAATATCTTTATGTTACTGAAATTCTTTACCACACTTCCACTAAGTTCATGTTCATGTGAACGTTCGGCATCTGCTTTAAGCTGGTTGAGTAATTACCTGAGATGTACACGAACTGAAGAAAGACCGAGTGATCTAGGTTTAATAAATAATCATTATGATACTACTATCAACATTGAAACTGTATTTATCATTTTATGGAAAAGCACTTCAGAAGAATGGAGCATGCTAACGTGTTATTTTAGTCGTGCATACATGTATGTATATGATAGCCAATGATTGAACTTGCTAATATACTATTGTTGTACAGAGTTGTTTAAACTAGTAACATAATTTAACAATTACTAAATACTCTCCAAGTAGATATTACAGTACTTTACTATAATAAAACTATATAATTATGCTAATTTAAATCTAGCTCCCCATGCAGTGTCACAACAGAATGATGATTTGTTGACTTTTCATTGGATGTTTGTGGATTTTATAGGAATGGCCGTGCAATGTTTAAGCTATATTTCATGCAAAGTTGCTTCCAGATTTAAACTCGTAGCACCTATTTTCTACAAATTTTCTCGGGGTCATGCCCCCAAGACCGCCTTAGCATTAGCATGCCTTACATGCTGATTTTGCTTCGCACAGTATGTGTTGGCTTTTGATCTCATAAGAACCCCCTCTTCAAACATTCTGCGTACGGGCCTGTTTTATATATTTTTATAGGTTAAACACGAATAAATATATGAGATTAAGACACATATCTAAATATAAACCTTTATAAACTTATCTCGACATTTCGAGCAAATATTCTTAGTTACGTCGTAGCATGCACTATAGATTTTTGTGAATTATTCTTTCTGACAAACGTTAAACGATATACGCACTGATAAAGATTCTGTTCTGTACAAAATTTAAGTAAAACATTCTAGTAATCTGAACATTTTAAAATAAATATACTTTAAAAAAGAATTAGATATAATGGATAATCTGTAAGGTCGACTTGTTGTTTGTTGTTAAGCACAAAGCTACACAATGGGCTATTTGTACTGTGCTCACCACGGGTATCAAAACCTGGTTTTAGCGTTATGAGCCTTCAAATTTACCGCTGAGCCATTAGGAGGCCTGTAAGACGAGATAACAAGTTATTGAATAATCTTAAGTTATTATATATTGTGTGAATATTATTCTTAAATAAAAATTCATGTTGGTTAATAATCTGTTATTACCATTAGACTTCAGAAATCGTCGCATATAATAATACTAAAATGATAATCAACGCGATGAAGGAACTTCACATTTTATTCGATTTTATTTCAACAAAGTTTCAATCTTGGACTCTTCATGAGATATTATGTAAATGTTGTGAAAAACAACATAGATTCTTAAAAAATATGTTTTAATTCATATGCATTTAAAGTGTAATGTTTTTAAAACTGATCTTTAAATATAATTTTTTAATGTCCTGTCTTTCATGCACATTACTAGAAACAGAAAATGTGATTTATCTGTTACAATATGAAGCAGTTCAGAGAAAAAATCTTCAGTTTAAACATTCGCAACTTCTGAATTTTCAGAAATCAAGTTAGAATTCTAAAGTGTCAATGGTTTAACTAAATATATTTTTCTTAAACTATTTCATTTTGTAACAAAGAAATCACTTTTCTCTGTCAATGAAATTTTTATGACACATTATTATAAATTCTTATAACAGAGAGCAGCACCGTTGCCTAGTAACCTCACCATCACTTGTTTATCCCTTGGTAACTGGATAGGCAAACAGAAAGTAAGAAAGATAAAATATAATGGTGAGTGAAATTATATCTAAAATTACATAAAAATCGTTTGCTTGCAGTAGGTCAGACTGTTTTGGGAACTGTTTTGTTTTTTAGTATTCAGCAATAACTGACAGTAAAACTTGTGCCGTTGATGGTATTAATATTACTATTAGTAGTATTGGTATCACAAATGTAATTATAGAACTTATGAACGAAAGTAAAGAAGAATGTAATAATACGCCAACCTCACTCTTTTGCTATGTCCAATGCCGACGAAACCATTCAATAATACCAGCGCTCATCAGGCCGGCTGGTTAGAGACAGACATAGTTAATAAATAATATTGGCAGTAGCACTAGTGGCACCAAGCAAAACCTCTTGAAATACAGTATCCTATTAAAATGAAGTATGTATTAATTAGTACATAAAGAAAAGACGATTATTGCCTAAATGTCCAAGGATAAAGTTTCTATTTGTGAAATTTGTCAATTAAAATATATGTGTGTATATATACATTTCTCAGTTGCTCTTAGCCCAACTGTTCTTTTATTTTGTTTGGCACTACACATATTCTAATCGTACAAAGTGATTGAAAATTTACATTCAACAGTGTTTTCATTAACTTTTCATAAATGTATGGCAACCTTCTAGTCTAATAGTGTTGTCAAATTATGTGTCTACTAATGTATGTAATTAATGTTGTTTCAGAAGTTTGAACAATATACATTATGAACCTGTAATTGTATCAAAGGAATTAAATACTATATAATTGAACATGATGATTTAATATAATAAGTAGTGTTGAAATAAAAATGTTCTAGTTAAGGGTATAATAAATATTAAATATTTAATATTATTATTATTCATGTAGAATTTGACATTAACTCTTAAACTCACTAGTCCATTTGGGCAAGCTGGTGATCAGTTTCACATGCTGGAAATTGATAATAGTTATTTATTATTCAGGATAATTAAATTCTCTTTTTGCATGATAAAAAGTCTCTCTGTTTCTTTCTTTTTTCTCTTCTTATTTTCTGCATTTTTTGATGCATTTCTTATAAGGTTTGCTTCATGGATGTAAAAATGCTACTTACCTGAGACTATCAAGTTTTGAGTTCAGACTATCTTTAATTCCAATGTATTAGCCTGGGTTAGTGCAATTCTGCTTGCAATTGAGGTCTGTGCATGTATGTGAAATCCAACTCTATAAATATGTAACTATTAAGAATGTACAAAATTGCTACCTGTTTTTATTTTTACTTCCAAATTTTTAAATATGCACTGTCACACAAATTTTTGTAAGGTAAGCCTGCTTATCAATAATTCCATATGCATGACTCAATTTCCAACTTGTAAATTAAAATGTCCAGTTATTTAGTTTTGTATTTATAACATTTTCTAATGAACATGGTTATTTTTTGTTGAAATGAAAATAGTTATTTGTAAGGCAAAGTTTTACAGGTGCGAGATCAAACAGTTGTGTTTGTGTGAAATGACTCGGAACTCTATGGTCTCTTTCCTAGGTACAACAGAAAAGGGTAAGGTGTTCTGAATATCAGACTGCCTTGTGATTACTGTGAGTTTGTTGCATACTTGTTTGTAGACTGGATGACCTGCTCAGAGATGGTACATTTGTATATACATACTGAATTGTATTATATTTAATACATTGGAAATATCAGTATTTCACATGTGTAGACATTTAAATGATTAACTTGTCCACAGATTTTATGTCTCCATCACATGTGGTGTAGTAAATCATATTGTTATTAGTCTTTCTAACACAGTGGATATAGTCATTGGAATAATATAGATAAGTATATATTTGCAATGTGCAATAATTTATTCATTATAGTAAACCAAAAATTGTAGGGCTAGTATTTTTCTTATGCTTACTAACTTTAAGCTAATACATCCAAGAAAAGTCTACATTCCTGTTGCATATTGTGATTGTACTTCTAAACTTTTAATCAAAGAAACTTGTGAAAAGGAACAAGCATTCATTTTGTGACATCTAACTACAGCATGCATGCACTTCTAAATATTGGTGATAACACACTGATAAAACAGTCAGAAGCTATCAAAGTAAACAACAAAGCACAGATAAGGTAGGAAGATGAAAAGTTTGAAAGAAAAATGTATACTACTCAGAGTAAAACCAAATAATTTTCACTTGTACAATTCAGCAAGTATGTTGAGAAATCTAGATGGTCTCGCTTGTTCCATGGAATTAGACAGTCATTAATGGTAAGCCGTGACACATATTCTAATACACCATCAGTGAAATTGGCAACCAGGAAACTTACGGTAATTTGTTATATTGGTCTAGTTAGACTGGTACTGCATAGCTCAGATTACAAAATACTCTGGAAATGATTACAATTTTAAAATAAATTCTGTTGTTTATTTGACTTTTAACTGATGAAAAGTTTGTACAAAAATTTAATCTAAATGACACCACTCTAACATGTAACAATTCTTTTACAAAAGTGTAATCTAAATGACACCACTCTAACATGTAACAGTTCTTTTCAAAGATGTATGGTTTGCTGTTTATTAACTTAAGAGTCAAAATTTTAGCCTAGTTGTTTATTTTATCTATGGATTGTTCACATACAAATACATTGGCTTCTGTGTAAAAGCTTTCTTTTTATATTGGTCTTACAGAATATCACTGTTTATTGAAGCCAGAGGAAAGTGAACCATTTATGCAGACTAACAAAAGTTCAGTCTTTTAAAATGTACACAATACTGGATAAAGCTATTGGCATAGTAGTTGTAAGTCAGTTGTAAGAAATTGCTCTGTTGCTATTACATGTGGTAAGGCTAGTAGAATTTGAGGTGTATTTACAAATCAAAAGAAGTAATTATCCCTTTAGTAGTTACTAATCAGACCTCACATAAAATACTGTGTACAGTTTTTGGTTCGTTATCTAAGAAAGGATATTGATTTATTTGAAAGGCTACTAGGATAATTCTTGGGATAGAAGGGTTATCTTACAAGAATAGGATAAGATTTTTAACTTATTTTTCTTTCAGAAAAGTAAAGGTAATCTTTTTGAAGTTTATAAGATTATCTGGAGGATCAATAGAGTAAAAGTTTGATTTCTTTGTGCTGTAATCAGAAGACAATAGGATGAAAGTACAAAACCTTAAGATTTTAAAAAGAAAGGTAGGGTGCAGTGTAACAGATTGATTGGCTCATGGAATGAATTGCCATTGATGGTACTAGTACATAGCACTTTTTAAGAGTTTATGAGGGTTGTTGATGACTTTCTGAAAATAAAGTATGAATTTACATTTTTTAGTTTTCTCAAGAATGGGTGTGCAAGGACAGCTTGAAAGGACTAAATGATCTCTTGTTGTGTGTATCTTATATTACAAATAGATACATATGTGTTATTTACACAAAATAGCCATTACACTTAACGAAAGCCACATGGGTGTGATAACATTGATAAGTAAGTAAATTGTATTATTAATCTGAACATCCATTACCAGCCAAACATTACAATTACACATAGCTTTTATATAATTGTCATGTTTGATCAGATAATGCAAATGTTCACCAGAATTTCTATCAGTGGTGATGTTATAATCATTATTGCTAACATAAAAGGTGTGGTCACAAATGTGAACATCATCCAGATGCTCTACAAACAATTAGTAAACCATACTATCCAATGTTCTAACTTGATTTTATTAATAGTAATTAGTATGTTATACTAATGCATTTCAGTAACAATGTTATTATCATAAACATTTATCAATTATCTTTTGTTTTCTGCGAAGGATATTTCTTGTACTTGCCATAGCTCCATTTAGTGTGCTTAGATGAGAACTGAGCTTGAAGATTATTCTAGCATTATTTCCAATGTTGACACAATTGTTTACAAGGTGAAAGCAAAATAATGAAATGCTTACAACTCCATGTAAGAAATCTGAGCGTCTTTTATTTATGTTCTCTGTGTAATATTGAAACATTTTGTTTTTTTCTTTTGGAATTTGTTTCTTAGGTAGCGAAGAATAAATGATCTTCTAATTAGTGCTAAACACGGGAAATCACAAAATACCATTAAGCTTCTTATTCTTACACATCACAGTTTTTGTATACTTTACCTTTATGTATGATTAACCAGTGGTGATAACAAAGACAATGTTAAAAAAACAATGTTAAAAAAACAATGGAAAAAAGACAATGGTAAAAAAGACAAAGAAAATTACACAAATAGGTAAAAAAGTAAAATAAAATAATCCTATATTTGGGGAATAGTATAAAACCAAAGATTTTGTAGTCAAAATATCATGCCATAATATCCAATAACAGAGGTATAATTTTGAAAGTTGAAGTCAATGGCTATCATAAATCTTGTCATGTCTGTATAATTTATGTATGGAAGTCATCCTCCTCAATCGTTAAAATAATTTATGAACATATTTTAATGAATATTACAAGTTAAAACTGATGTGATATACAAAATTAAACTTTCTGATGCTTAATGAAGAAATGGTCCAGAAAAAATACATGAAATTGAAAAATTCAATGTTTCCTAGAAAGAATAATTCATGTCAGCTAACTAGTTAAGTCTGCTAAAGACCAGTTTTCACAAGGCAACATTTATATGGTTTATTAGCTCCTCTCATGGAAGCTGATCTTTGTAAGAGCATGTACTTTGTGAATTGCTTGTTTTAATTGATTTGCCAGGAGAGATGGACTTAGTCTCCTAGAAAAGAAGAAAACATCTCAAATGTGAAGTTACATCTAAGGAATTTGGGTGTTCACGTCAGATTGTGAGTATATTTATATATAAATTTTGTTTTTTAATTGCAGACTTATTTATAACATAGGTTCAATAAAGTCCATAATAATTATTTCAAAACTTTCCTACTTATATCTGTTTCTTCATTCTGTTTAAGAATGAATAGATTTTTATTCATTTTTTCTGATTTATTCATTGTAGCTAAACCAACTGCAGTCAATGCTTCAAACATGCCATCAACATCTGATGAACTAACAGTGCTGTCTGTCACACTTTAAAAACTGTTGCAGATCATTCAGTTTCATAGAATACATGGCATCTCCCAAAGTTCCTAGAAAAATGGATAGATGTTTCCTGGTATGTGAAAGCTGTCCATAAATGTGTTACAGAGTTGAAAACTGATTGTATCACAAAGATGGACAAGCAAGATACTGTTGAGACTGTTTGGTGCCAAATATTTTAACAGTACTTTCCTTACAAAACAGCACTGTGTGTGTTGGTACTAAGAATGCTGAAGAGGACCCACATACTGCTTGTTAACTATGCAACAGAAACTACAAAAAGAAATGACCTATAAAATATGGAAAAATAGCCTGAAAGAAATGAACTATTCACATTTTTATGAAAATGGAAAATCCATCAGTGAGAGGCCATTTACTGACTTTCTGAAGGTAACAGAACTGCGTATAGACAGTGACATTTCAATGGACATAACTTTCGACAATGATAAAGCATTGAGGACATTCATCTCTGAGATTGCTGATACTCTGCATGATGAATCACAACAACAGTTACATGCCACTGACTTTTTTTTTTGATGATTGATGGTAGCATAGACAGAACTGATACAAATAAATAAATTATGTACGTATGGATAAAAAATAACAACAACTTTTATCTTGGTATTGCATACCACAAGCTTCTGGATCTAAAAACAATATAGATGATCTTCTAGTATTTCACCTAATTAGTTTATATCGAAAATGTTAGGATTTGGAACAGATGCTCTTTGGCTTATTTAGATATACCGCATAGCCTATACGTAAGAATTTGTCAAGAAGGACATCACAAAGCATCATACACAATTACAGTAGATATTTTCCTAACATCCATTTATCTGTTTTACAGAAAATCTTCAAAGAGACTTAGAGAAGCAAATGCAGTAGTAGAAATAATAAAAACCACTTCTCTAAACCCCCACAGAGCTTGGAACAAGATGAATACAGCATAACCAAATTGTTCTTCCCAAAGTTTTTAATAACTGGCTAGACATAATTGCACACAAGGAAAACGTTTCTGATGACAAAGAGAAGCCTGGTGAAGATAAGGCAGTAGTGTGTGGACTTCATAGAAAACTCAAGAGAGTTTAGATTTGTTTTGTATGTTTCTACTTCAGATATTTTTTGACAAATCAGGAAACTCTTTGTTCTTCCATTGAAATGACATCACTTTTCTCTGTCCTTGCCCAAACTAGAGAGTGCACAAACCATGTTTCATTCTGTGCAGAATGAGGAAGGTCTCATGGAAAGTGTGGAAGTTAAATATGGTGTATATGTCAGAGTGGACCTTTGAAGGGGCACGCACTAAATAAAGAATGTCAAAACTAAAGTAAATGTGACAGATTGTTGTTAGCCATCAATGATGCTTTGCAAAATTGCTTTATAGGTGACCAAACTTACATACATGTTATATCAAAAAAAAAAATGTCTGACCAAAAATATTGGCCAGAATCTTCATCTTTGTGTGACCAAAGGTATTGACAAGAATCTTCATTTGTATAATATAGAGCAAGTTCAACATCACATTTGTGCTACATTTTACATGATTGTGGACCCAGACAGAGATGAAGTCAAAGATCAGGTAGCC